TGCTGAACCACAAGAGCACAATACCAAGCTTGTATTCTGTGGGCAGTAAACATAATACAGCAGAGCTACTTGACATGTAAGTCTGGAAAGCTGTATAGCTTCCTTACATGTCCTCCAACTTGGAGAGAAAGGCCAACCTACTGACTAGTCCAGCTTCCTCCATGGCAGACCCACAGCAAGTATCCCATTCAGCATATCCAGACAGAACCAACTCTGGGGCCAGCTGTGGCTTGGTGGTTAGGGTGGCTGGGTCCAACATGGCCAACAGCACGACTGAGGCCCAGACCTGGTGGCTTGAGTCACACACCAGGCACATGTGTGCATACCCAGGATCCCAAAAGGAGGGAAAAAGGATAAGGGACTGTGGTGTGACCGTTCCCCATGGAAGGTGCTTTCTGACTTTTCCTCTCTCCCTGTCTCTCTGGCAAGCATGTACCTCCTCAGGCAAAATTAAAAAACAAAAAACAAGATCTGTATGAATACATTGGGCTAGGCAGGTGGCATGGGGGTTGAGGTGGCTGAGTCTCACATAGATGACTACACAGTTTAAGTCCTGGACCTGGTTAGAAAACAAAACAAAACATGCCATGCATGTGTGTGCATGCCTAAAATCCCAAGAGAGCAGAGAAGAAGGGATTGTGGCATGGTCATCCCCGCTGGGGGGTGCTCTCTCACTTTCTGTCTCTTCTGGTGAGTGCATACTCCTTATAGCAAAGTAAAAAAAAAGAAAAAGAAAAAAAAGTGTTTTCACAATAAAATAAATGATCACTATTAAGTATGTAAGTAATACCTCAGGAAAAAAATCCTAGGTACCTTTCCTGGAAAATTGCTTTATATTTTGTGAGCACCAATATTTTCAGTATCACTGCTAGTGCAATTCATAAGAATAAGATGAATTGGGACCAGCAGGTGGTGTGGTGGTTAAGGCGCTGGACACTCCCACATGGCTGACCAGGGTTCAAGTCCTGAATCTGGTGGCTAGCTTCCTCACTTTCTCTCTCTCTGGTCAAATTAAAAAATAATAAATAAATGAATAAATAAAATAATTATTAAAAAAAGAATGAGATGAATTTAAGATTACTTATAGATGAAAAACAAAGTATTAATCTTTGACTTAGACAAAATTTCTAGAAATTAGGAAATTAAAGATGGAAGAGAATCTCATCTTTTGTGAAAAGATTTGAGGAAAATGCTGTTTTGAATTTTTAAAAACACCACTTGTGAAGACTTCTAATTCAAGAGTAAAAATCTATTGTACACAATTTGGTTTGTTCATAAGGAGTATAAATTGAGGGACCAGCAGTTGGCATAATAGCTATGTTGCTGGACTCCCATGTAGTCGACTGCGGTTCGAGTCCCGGACCTAGTGACTGGGCGTGTGTGCGTACAGTGCCCAAGATACCAAGAGGAGAATGGAGAAGGGATTGCGGCGTGGCCATCTCCCCTGGGGCGTGATTTCTTGCTTTCTGTCTCTCTGTCTCTGTCTTTCTGGTGAGCGCACGTGCCCTATAGCAAAAACCTCTCAAAAAACAAAAACAAAAACAGAAGTATAAATTGAACCATTATCTAAAGACATAAAGGCATAAAAAAAAATTAAGGAAAAGAGGTTATCAGAAAAAGAAAATGAGGTCGGCCCATGGAGTGGTTGTTAAGGTGGCTGGATCCCCCACCTGGTCAACTGTGAGATTCAAGTCCTGGACTCAACAACTTGAAAAACATGCTGGGCATGTGTGTGTGCACATGCAAAAATCCCAAAATGAAGGCGAGATGGAGAAGGGATTGCAGTGTGACCATACCCCCATGGGGATGCTTTCTAGTACCGTCTCTCAGATGACCACACACACTTTCTAGGAAATTTAAAGTAAATTTTTTGCTAATGAATTTAGGCCGATCCTATAGCCTAGCAGTTCAAGGAAATGGACCCTGCATGGCTGTGATTTGAAACTTAGCCCCAGCAACTTGAAAAACACTAGGCATGTGTGTGTATGTGCCCGAGCTCCACTGCGGAGTGCTTTTTCCTCTCTGTCCCTCTGACAAGTGTACATGTCCTCTGGAAATTAAAAAAGAGAGAGAGGGGCCAGCCGGTGGCGTGGTGGTGAAGGTGCTAGACTCCCACATGGCCGACCACAGTTCAAGTGTGGTTTGAGGATGTGGTCACTTGCTTTCTCACTTTCCCTGTGTGTGTATGGTCTCTCTAGTCAAATTAAAATAATAATATAACAAAAATAATTCTTTAAAATAAATGAGAGAGAGGGGGAAACAAAAATGAGTTTATTCTTCAGTTTTTCAACTCCCCTCCCAATGTGTGTTACTTTACTCTAAGGAAAATTTTTATTCAAGTATCTTTGAAAATGTCCTACTCTGTAACATAATAGTAAAAATAAAGTTAAAAAAAGGAGGAAAAGACACTAAAATAGCCTGATTAGAAGCTCTACTTTAGAAAGGACAAGTCTGGGTTCCTGGACTATTATAAGCTCACTCACTGGAAAAGACATTAAGTGGGGTGTCAGTGAAGACTCTAATGATAGCTGACAGCAAATGAAAGAAAACCTTGCTCAGGATGGCAGCTGTGAGGAAAATAACCAATGAAGAGCAAGAGACAGGAGTGCGAAGAGGACGCTCCCCATCTGCTGGTTTTTACAGGTCATTACACTTGACCATCTAATACCAGAGAGCGCCACCTAGACTCAGAAGGTGAAGAACCTTCACCTAAGCTGACGCTCAGTCCTTTAGCTGGTACTTCCCATCCCCAAAGTTATATTCAAAGTTACCTCACAGATCAGAGACATCCAAAGTTAGCCAGGTGGACTGACCTGTGGCCTGGTGGTTAAGAAAGCCAGAACCCACATGGCTGACTATGGTTCAAATTCCAGCCCTGGTGGCTTGAGAAATACACCAAGCATGTGTGTGTGTGCATGTCCGAAACCCCAACAGGGTGGAAAAACGGAGAAGGAACTGTAACATAACCCTACCCACCGGGGGTGCTTTCTCACTCTCTGGCAAGCACATGCACCTGCTGGCAAATTTACAAAAAACAAAAATAAAATAAAGTTAGCCAGATAATATATTTTTGATTTCTCCACATAGCCATAGGATCCTTTTTTTTTTTTTTTTTTTTTTGAGAGGTTTTTGCTATAGGGCACATGCACTTGCCAGAAAGACAGAGACAGAGAGACAGAGAGTGAGAAATCACCCTCCTAGAGGGGATGGCCACACTGCAATCCCTTCTCCTCCATTCTCTTCTCGGATCTTGGGCACACATGCACACGCACCCAATGTGAGTTTAAGCCACTGGGTCCGGGACTCGAACCACGGTCGACTGCATGGGAGTCCAGCAACATAGCCATTATGCCAGCTGCTGGTCCTGTTGTTATTATTTTTAATTGAACAGAGAGAAGTGAAAGGGAAAGTGAGAAAGCAAGCTGCCAGGTCTAGAACTCAAACCATGGTCAGCCATATTGGAATCCAGTGCCTTTAACCACCATGCCACCTGCCAACCCCAAGTTTTTAAAAAGTCATTACTGGGCCAGCCTATGGCATGGTGATTAAAGTGGCTGGATCCTACATGGCTGACTGCCTAGTTTGAGTCTGGACCCAGCAGCCTGAGACACACACCAGGCATACATGTGTACATGCTCAAAATCTCAAAAGTAGGGAGAAATGGAAGGGAAAGGATTGTGGTATAACCATTGCCTATGAGAGTGGGGCGGGGGAAGTTGCTTTGCTTTCTCACTTTCCCACTCTCTCACTCTCTCTGTCTTCTCTCCAGCAAGCCCATGTGCCTTTGGGTGGGGGGGGATCATTTTTTTATGAGGACGTAATTAAGACATTCTAAATTGAGATAATAAAACAAAAGGCCTAGGGAAAATAAAAGGGAAGTCTGTGCTATTAAAAAATGTCAATGCCATTTAGTCAAAGCTGAGGAACTATTCCAGACCAAGGAGACTAAAGCTATGTACCTTCTATTGAGATCTGAGTGCTGGAACTTGGCACAAATGAGGCAGTATTGGGAGGCAGAGCCTAGTAGGAGGTTTTTAGGACTTGGGGCAGATCCCTCATGAGTAAATTACAGCTGTCTCAGTTCTCCGTAATGATTACAGTTCCTCTAAGAGTGAGCTGTTATAAAAGTAAGTAGGCTTGGGAACCAGCAGTTAGCATAATGGCTATGTCACTGGACTCCCACGTAGTCGACTGCAGTTTGCATCTCGGACCCGGTGGCTTAAAACTCACGCCGGGCGCGTGTGCGTGCGTGCCCAAGATCCCGAGAGGAGAATGGAGGAGAAGGGATTGCGGCGTGACCATCCCCCCGGGGGGTGATTTCTCGCTTTGTGTCTCTATGTCTGTCTCTGTCTGTCTGGCGAGCGCACGCGCCCTATAGCGAAAACCTCTCCCCCCCACCCCTAAAAAAAAAAGTAAGTAGGCTTGGGGCTGGCAGGGGGCACCGTGGGTAAAGGCCTG